ATTATTTGAATTTTTGCTTTTGTTTTCGTGATACATGGTCTATATTCATTGTCTGTATTTTGGGGTATTTAGTTATTGGATAGGGCGACACAGCGGCGCAGTGCTTAACGCTGTTGCTTCACAGCAAGGAGGTTCCGGGCCGACCCGTGTGTGTGGTTGTTTGTCTACATGTCAGCCTTGTGATAGACTGGCGACTTGTCCAGGGTGTACCCCGCCTCTCGCCCAGTGTCAGCTGGGATTGGCACCAGCCTCCATGACCCTATTCAGGAATAAGCGTTATAGATAATGGATGAATATTGGATATGTTGTCTCTTATTATCTAATGAAAAGCATAGAGCTCTGGCTTTACCTGTATGTGGCAATAATAGATTCTGGGAGCAGTATGTAGTGTATAGAGACTGCTTGACTGTCCTAACAAGGTATAGAATGACTCTTAATAAAATGTTTACACCAGCTGAAACTGTACCTCGGGCCTGTCTGTCTCTCAGACAGCCTCTTAGCATTGATCAGCCAGACCTCTGTAACTCCACTCCCAGCCTGCCTGGCCCCAGTTCCCTGGAGGAGGTTCTGAATCAGCCCCACTCTTTGGAGGGGCAGGCTATGCCAAAGGCCCAGACCCTGGCATGCCTAGCCAGGCTTATTAGTTTATCACTTTGTCAGAGAGGAGAGAGAGAAGTCTGTCAAAGAGCTTAGACCACCCACCAGATGGGGGCCAAGGCTGCAGGCTGACAGCTTTAAACTCCAGGGAGGGTAATTAGCAATAGTGGATGGCTGAGAAGAGGACAGGCTGAGAGGACCAGGGGTTAGCACCACTCATACCACCAGGGAAGAGTGCAGTGCTGAAGTGTGTTTCCGCACATAGCAGAATTATTGATTTAACAAAAACTACACACTACCAGAACTGACATGTCTGAATCTATCGCATGTTACCCTCAATAATTATTAGATATTTGTTTTCTGTGGTTAAGTCTTGTATGAGATTGGTAGGCATTGTTTCTATGTATTCATTGTTTTTGCTGGTAAAATGCACACACGACACACACATTCACCCACCTGTGCTTCACATTACTATCAGCTCGGTTTTTTGTGTGACCACAAAGGTTTTCACTCTTTAACTCTGGGTTGTAGTCTTTTTTGTGCAATGTTCCTTTCATTAAACAAATATTATATATTTATACACACACGCACATACAGCACTCTTAGCTAAGGGACTTAATTAGTGTGTAGATCAATACTTGGCGACACTAAGCAGTTGGTAAGGTAGGCTAAGGCCTGACCATCAGGGACATAGCGAAGGGAAGAGACAGTTTAACTCCTACTTATTTTTTTTATCAGAATGTTGATTAGTTCTTGTTCTGGGAGATTCCTGTGGTCTGGTCTCAGGTCCTGCAACCGCTGGGCACTGGTGTTATGTGTTTTCTCTTCCTCCTGCATGCTCTTCCAGTACTGTTTGGTGGCTCTGCTCTGACTGTGTTGTTGCACTGTAGCTTGGATGGTTGTTTGGAGAACAGGACATTTACCCTTTTAGCCTCTGTCTCTGTGGTGTATCTCTTTAGCCTTGCTGCAAGTACTGTGAGCCTTTGTTTAGCAGTCTCCGGGGCCTCAGATGGTGCTAGTCCCTTGCATTTTTTCCAGTAGCCTTTTCTTATTCTTTATCTTCACACCTTTCTGTAGTTCTACCAGCTTACTAACTTATCTCCAAGTGGTCTTGATCTTAGCTTTCAGCCTCATTTTCCAGGGGGGGTATGTGCTACTCTTCTTCTTGATCATGTAGCCAAGCATCTCTTATAGTAGCTACACTATATACCAGTTCACTGGTCTGAGTTATGGTGGTAATAGGAATTGTCATGTTGGTATCTGCTAACATACTATCTGATGACACATTCCCACTGAGTCTTTGTAATCGGGCTCAGACATGAACTGTAGCCAGTTTATCCATTATTCTGTGCTTCATATCAGCAGCTGTGCCCTCTAGTGGAGGGGATGAGGTGGATGAGGATCGGGCCTCTACTGTTAGTTGTACATCCAGTTGTGCTTCCTAGTCTTCTTCTGCCTGGGTTGTAATGTGTAGTTGCTTGATCTCGAGCTGCGATAGTAGCTTCCCCTTTACTATGTTGAAGCGCTGGGGAACTAGTTATTTCTCACTTAGTGTGGATGTTGGTCTTCTAAACATCCATAGTTCCCTCATATGTTTCATATATCCCCTTTCATTGGGTCTGCTATTGTATTAGAAGTTCATCAGATCCCAATTCTTATCTCTTGTCCATGAATGGTTTGTTCCAGTAGCCCACTTATTGTCAGATTGTCCTGGTTCCCCAAAATATGATGCAGACCTTGCTGATCTTACTCTCTCTGTGTAGAAGACTGCCACATCTGTGCCCCGGCACACAATGTTTCAGACACAGTCTGATAAAAGCTTCTTCATGGCTGGCTGTTAAAACTTTTTAGTCACAGTTTGGAAAACGCTTCATATAACCTTTGTGAGGTGACAGGTGGGCCAATTTACGGATCATACCTTGACAACACAGGGTAGAGAGGCTGTTATATTTCACTAGCTGTGTTGCAAAACAATGACCACAGCAGAAACATTGTAGCCTAGCAGAGATGAACCTGATTAGTTCATAACTGTGTTGTCTTTACAGGAGACTGCAGTCTAAACAGACAGTAGTCCTTCAAAGAGATGAGTTACGTCGGAGACCCCTCCGCTCAGCCGCTGAGAGCTACAACACACCAAGCAGCAGCACCAGCAACAACCCCAGTAGGAAGAGAAACATGGTGAGTTATACAAACACAGTGATACAGCACTTTGAGTTTTTATATATGATGAAATACAATACCTTATCTATCTGTCAGTAATGTGCACCTTTGACAAAGTATGGACTGATGTTTATGGTTATTTCTACAACAAATAAAGCTGCACTAACAAATGTTTTTATATTAATGGATGAAATTATGTGTAGAGAGAAAGGTGCACCAGTCCGGATCTAGCATCATTTGGACATACAGTATGTGACTATTTTCAGTGCCAGACTCAAATTTGACTCCACCACAACCATTTAGTCCTGATGAAGCTGATGAGCTGAGTTTTTGAGTGTTCCACTTTTAGTAGATAACTGAAAGTATTCATTTTCAAACTTTGGAATTTTGATGGCTGCTTATTTAGTCATTAATAATTTACATTGCAGAAAAATATATCAAATTTGATACCAAGTTTTTAAAAACTTTAATATCAATCACAGAAACAAGCTGATTTGCTGTCTCTGGCCCTCTCTTCAGACGAGTGTTGAGACCAGTCAGCATGATCAGAAGCATCTGACTGAGTGTGAGCGCAGTGCCCCCAAGAGGATGAAGCAGCCAGACACTCCAGAGCAGAGGTAGGATCATTTTAGTTCATTGGTTTTACTCAGGGGTCAGCAACCTTTACTATCTTAAGAGCAACTTTCGGCCAGAAAAAAAATAAATCTGCTTGGAGCCGCAAAAACTATTGGAGCCCTTTCCATGCAGGTACCACGGTCTATTGGCTAAACAGCCAATCAACAGTACAAATAGGACTAAATGAGCATTCTTACGTGTTTTACCAGAAGGCGACTGCCCCATCAGGTCTCGGGGCTAGGATAAGGTTAGATTCACATTAAGTTACTAAGAGGAACAGCTTGACGAGGCAATACACTTTGACACTGACAAAAAGGGCTCATGAAGCTTCTGTTTGAGGTCAGGAGTGAAGTGGACTATTGCTCCGCTGGGCAGTGACCACTTATGAAGCTAGCTAACTGCTACCCTGCTGTGTACTTGAAATGATCTGCAGTCACTTCTCCGACCTGTTTTACGATGATCATCCAACATCTTTAGTGGTGTGTCACAGGACCTTTGAGAGTGGTTAACCTGTGTTAAGTAAACAATTAAGTAGTGTTAATTAAGTAACGTTAACGTCGAGGGGTACCATGTGTTGAATGTTTGTTTCTAGGTTAATCCTCAGGACCACATTATATATTGTCTGTGCACAGGACAGTATGTCTTTCATTTGCTGAAGGAAGAAAGTTTCTCTGTGCTTACCTTAAATCTTAGTTTAATACATCTATGAGACAAGCTTGTGACATCACAGCTTGTTCGGAGCCAAGTGTGATCCTGTATGCAATTTGGACACATGTCATGTACACTAAGATTCAGTTTCCCAGAGAACAAATAAGCATCTTGTGTCCATCATTAAAACATAATAAAATGATCACTATATTCAAAGATTCTGGATTTCAGTGAGAGATAATGTGTGGACATTTTTGATGCAGTAGTTGTGGAAAAAACAAACACTATTCATTGAAACATTACTCAAAAAAATAAATAACATATATAAAGTATATCTTGAAGATATCTATAAAGAGACTATAAAGGGAGTTTCTGACAGCAGCAAATATTTGGAGATATTTTTGACTGTCCCACGGTAATACGGTTTGTTTCTAATTGAATATGATTTGAAATCCTTTATTTGTGTGTCCAGCAGTGCGGAGACATCCACTTCTGGCTGTGTGATCCTCTAATGGATTTGTTCTTGAGATGTAAGAGGATGGTCAGTTCTGCATGGGCTGTCTGAGAGTTTCACTTCAGACTGACCTTTGTGTTTGACTCAGTTTTGCCAAACGTAACTCTCTCGCACTGTTAAAAAACTTTTTTTTTTTTTTACTTTGCTTATTAATATTTCAACATAAAGTCAAGAGCAGTTTGCTTTAGTATATAAGCACCTTCAGCTTCTGCTGTACTGTATATAGTATAATATTGTCTTGATGTGCTGCTTTAATAACCAAATATTTGATGAATGTTGCTGCTGCTGGTCTCTAACTACTTATAAACCAACACAAGGACAGAGCAATGTATTCATGAGGTCACTCCTCATGAATACATTTTATTAGTTATTTATTTTTGCCCCCAGTCTATAACTAAGTACACGGCTGCAATAGTTTTTTTTTATTCAGTAGGAATTTTACATTGCATTTACAGGCACACTTGAAATAAATATGGTTGGATGCTAAAATAAAGTACACGTAAATCAGAAAGGTCAAACAGCATAATCGTCCTCATACAAAAGGAAAATAAATCTAGTTAGATGCCTTCACCATGGTGCTGATGAAGGCCTCTCATTAAAGGATATTTATCATTATACCTGTAGACTCGAGTTCCTTAGATTTTTTTTTCTTTTGTATGCAGTCAGAGAACCACTGTCTACTGAGTGTGATTATTATTATTATTTTTTTTATACATTAAAAATATTTTTACCTTTTGTTCACTAAGCAAACACACTCAATAAAATTTCCCCTCGTTTTTTAAATGGCATAATATCCAGTTTATTACAGGTGGACCTCGGTGGTTAGTCTAGGTCCCATAACAGGAGCATTGATACCTCTGATTCTGTCTGATCACATCTTTGAAAGAGGAGTGATTCTGGATTTCACCTGCCTTCAGTCTTTACTTACTGGATGAAACAGAAAGCTTTGTGCAGCGCTGTTTGCCTCATTTTCTTTACGAGCAGTCGCACAGTCATGTTACATTGATATCATGTCCAATTTACTTCTTAGATTCAGTCTTGCAACATTTGAGTGGTAATTATGAATGAAACTCAAATTGGTCACTCCTAAGTAAATAAATAGACATTAAATATGATATATCATGAAGAATAACCTTATTATATTTTAGAATCTTTTTTCCTTTTTCATTTTATTGTAGTGTAGTTTTACCCCCAAAAAGAAAAAATAACCTATATCCACACATCCCTTTCCAAGACTGTTTTCCCTCTGATTCCTATATTTTGTCATGTCTGCTGTCAGGACAGTTGTTTAATGCTAATACCCACAGCCTCATCATTCAATCACTAAGTGTCAGTCAGAAAATGATATTTTAACATAAGCTGACATTTGAAGTAACAATGACTATGAAATGAAAACTACAATATAACTATGAATCAAGAAACTATTTCACAGTGGGTTCAGTGTTATTAAATGTCTTACTCCAAAATGTATTGGTTAATGAAACCTTTTCACTGTATTAATTTTTGTCATTAGTTTTGTAATGTCTTAATTGTTTATTTAGTAGTGACCACTATAGTCTTCCTTGTTTCCTATGAATGCACTTTTTCAGCTCAGTGCACATGGATGTTTCATGGCAGCCAAAGTCCAACATTTAAGAACCAGGGTTTTTATTTTTATGTTTTTTAATTACAGCAACAAAACAACACCATACAGCTGCAGCACACTGTAGATTACTGTTCATTCAGTGTACACTCATTACAACACTGCAAATCCCTATCTGGGTTTATCCAACAATTTTTTTTCATGCTGCTGTCTATCCCACGGACTGAACACATCAGCGCTGCTGACTTGACCAAATACTCTGCAGGTGACCTTTATTGTCTGCTCTTCTCCAGACTTGATCAGACAGCTTTTCTGCCTCACTCAAATGTACACTTCTTAGAATGTCTGATAGGATTGTTTTCCTGCCAGATATACAGTAGTTATTAGTAGTTTTTACATGTGAATTTACTGTGGTGGAGTGTCTTCATTGTGCCATAATATTTTATTACATCATATCCTTTAACAGTGAGTATATTGTTTAATCATATCCTTTATCAACAAATCAGTATATTTACTTCATGTATTTGACCGACACTATTTTATATTATTATACTTAATGTTTATTTACAGATCATTTTTAACATCCTATTTTTACACCTTTTTTTGCTAAGACACTATGCAAATCGATTACACTGGCTACAAATCATAAATGGAGATGTACACTGTAAACAATGGTAATTTTCCAATAAAACTCAAAAAAACACAGTCTTGTGCTTTTCTGTCATTTATTCTGCTGCAATTTATCACAGTTTCTTGACAATGTAGGATCAAATAGATTCAATGAAGTCCACACACATTTGTCATGTTTACTCACTCAAAATGATTTGACCTTAGTCTAAAGGGCAGCTTCATATCTTTACAACCGGCTTAAAGCAGTAGTCACATATGGCCCATACTGAGACAGATTTTGGTTCTAGGGTACAGTTTAAAAGAACAGTTATCATGAATGAGTCAAGAGAGTGAAGAAAGCCAACCCGCCTGACAGTAGAAAAATCAGTTCCACATCTTAAACATTGATTCACAGACCTGAAGGCATTTATTACATTGCATCATTAATGAAATCACAACTCTGCTTTTCTCTGATTAGTAGTCCTTCTGCAGTAGTTGGCCAGGTTAATGCTGATGAAGACATTTTAAATATTCAGCATTTCTATACATGGACTGCAGAGCTGAGAGAGGTTTCTATTTTGGAAGATGGATGATGTGTGGTCATTTCAGCTGTAGAGTCCACATTCCATGAAACTCATCACACTGATCAGACTACCATCAGATTTCTGAGTGCTTGGGTACTGCTTGTTTTCAAACTGCAATACTGCTTTGTTTACACAAGATGGAGGCAAAGACAGCTCCACCATGCCTGTGGCAACAAGTGGGTGCTTCTCATTACCTTATTTCCATGTCTCCTCACTCCTCTGGTGACCTGGATATTGTTTCTGGCTTGCAAGGATCAAGGAGAGAGGAGGCTGCCTAGAGGAGACATAAGCTAGAACACAAAAGTCTTATATCAAACCTACACACTCCTGTATTTGAAATCTGTGAGTGACTGGACACTGCAACTGATCAGACTGATGTTATTACATCACCCCAGTTTTATACTGAGAAAAATACATGTACTGTACCAGATTCAGCAGTAAGGACATGTGAATTAAATATCAGTTTCTATCAGGTAAAAAAAAAAAGATTCCTGTGTCAGGCAGAAACAAATATTCTGACTGGATAGTTACATAATTTCCACCTTTTCCCTAAAACGAGTTTTCACCTAGTGGTCCGTGGCCCACTGGTGGTCTGTGAAGGCACTGCAGGTGGTCTGTGACCATGCATTCAATAATGTAATTTGACTATGGGAATCAATTTTTTAAAACACAATTCCATGTATTAATAATTGTTTGTGAATAATGAGATTCATGCAAATATATAAAAGTTAGAAAAGCCAAGCTGACTTTCAAGACTAAAATAGTGTTCATCCGGTCTATCCACCAACAACAGTGGTCCTCAGGCTGCTTCGTAGTTACAGTGGTGGTCCCTGGTTCACAATCAGTTGCAAAAACCCTGCACAAAAACATCTATAATAGTATATCATTCATTCTTATCATAACCTCACTAATTACATAATAAGTTTACAAACGATAAATGCAGAAGGAAATAATTCTAAAATAAAGCAGAGGTTTTTCATGGATGTGCAGATGCTTGGCCAAACTCTTTATTTTATGATAAATGTGCAGATATTTCCCATTTGCTTATCATATTGGAGAACACTGCTATAACACTCTGCTGGCAGAACTTATTTAGACAGCACCTCATATTACAAACTCCAAGGCATGCAGCTTGTAACACCTGCAGACTGACAGCAGATCTAGCTGTGATCCAGCTGTGCCATCATCATCAGAAAGTGATGTTGTTTCAGATGACAGGGGGAAAAACCCATCCATGTTAATGTGGGTAAATCGTAGTTTACCTATGTACATCCACCTTTCCCTCACTCATATTTTATCCTTGTGTCTTTATTGTGCCTGCTTAAGATGTGACAAACAAATGCAAGGAGAAAGTATGAGATGAGAGGAATTTGAGGTAAAACATTTATAGAGACATGAGACATCCTGTCAAATCTTCATCTGAAGCACACAGACACCAACTGATTACTGATAAAAGAGCATGTCAGTCAGTAAAAGAGGTCCATGAAGGATGATCTTTGTATCCTTGCTCATAGCTCCTCCAGGCAGCCTCCTCCATCAGTCTTTTGTGAAAGCTTTTGGTTGTTTACTTGATTTTGTGGGTGGCTTATTTATCCTATTTCCCTGCCACATTTAAAGCAGCTCTGGTGTCCTTGCTTAACACATTCATCACATTCAGGCTTTGTGTATGTCTTGTCTGGGGCTTGGGAATTGGGTGATAATTGACTAGTGTGACTCTGGACTACATTATCATGGAGTTTGGTAATCTTTTACATGTTTTCGCTAGAACTGTCACCTGAGCAATTTATCCCACGATGGCTGCGTAACATACCTGTCTTTATGATATCACTGACAGTCATTTGTGTATAAGACAAACAGAAGGAGGGAGAAGATGCAGCCCTGAGGGGACCCTATAGAGTGAGTTTTTCTTTTATTGTTAGAGTCTGAGCCATTTTCTTGGACTCTCTTTAAAAAATCAGTTAGACAACAAACCATAATAAAATCCAAAGCCTCAGAACAAGATTTAACAAGGTCGTTACATTATTGTCAACCCCTCATTCTGATTTATAAACAAACTGGAGGGGGTCCAGTCTGCCCCGAGCAATAGTTATGATTTCAGTTTTAATGACAAAAGATTTCATTACAAGGGGGGTAAAAGCTATTGGGCAGTAATCACTTAATGACTTTGGGAATGTAACTGTAGCTACTGGAACCACACTGGGTTTTTTCCAAGACTAGGTACTTTCTGCTGTTCTAGTGAAGACTGAAAGATGTGGAGAAAAACATATAATTCAGTTGCCTTGCAAGTGTTTGTCCCAATACAGTCAGGCCCTGAACTTTTCCTGTCCTTAGTAAGTCTAAAAAAAATGTAGTAATAATGTAGAAATTGTGTTTCAAATCTAAAAAAAAAATCTCGTGTAACTCTTCTGCTAGGTCATTATCTGACTTTTCTGAACACACCCTACTGTTCTTTTTTTGTATCCCAACCATAGTTCTAATGCCCATCCAGGCTGCTTGTGAATTTCCATCCTTCCGTTTTCTACTTACGGTTAACTGTTTTCATCTCCCTTTAAACTCACTCCTGAGCCTCTTTTCTTTACAGGCAGTAATCTTGATAAGAGGTAAACTTCTGATTCAGGAGTTGTTTGAGGGATTTACTAATCCAAGGCTTGTTATTGGGAACGATGGGACTCAGCAGGGACTATGTTCTGATCCCAGACGAGTATCCAAAGAGATTTTGCCTAATGATGGCTGTAAATGATTAGGTGAAGTCGCACAGCAGAGGGTATAGCTTGTTCTGGCATTTTCATTACTTCCTCCTCCTTTTACCAATGCCAAAATTCCAACATCTACTCATAATGAGTATGAGTCGCCCTCTACTGGGATAACTCTGCAATTGCATGAGAATTACAACAATGAAATTGAATTATTCTGCACGTCTTTGTTACTTCAGGTCACATGGAATAACTGAAAACATGAAAGCTAAGGTTTGTTTTTTTTACCTAGCATAAATTTTATGTCTTTGAACCTATTTATTATCAGTGTCTTGGCTCTTACAAAGTCTATAATAAGGGCTCTAAGGTCCCAGTAATGTTATTGTCCCAGTCACCAGAAGTGAAATACACACCCCAAGAGGGTTGTATTGATTTTTTTTTTCATGTTGAAAGAGCTGGCACAGGAACAGCCATTTTATATATATATGTACTCCTTTCCCCTTGTTAGGAACAGCATCAAAGTGACTTTACTCATGCAAAAGCACTGTACAGTTACAGTATAAGGAAAATGGCAGCTAATGCTCACTGATCCTCAGTTGTCATTTAAAATGAATGGCACTAAGTTGCACCCAAAAAAAGGAAAAATAAATCCACAACCAGAAATTATGCCCTCCACACAGCATGTGCTGACAGATAGTGTTAAACAAGTGAAAGCTCTGCACAACCAGTGGACGCTGATTCTATATAAAAGGAAAAAGTGAAACATATCACTATAATTTCAGATAGTAATTACTGTTACAAAGCAGGAACACTGGAACACAATATCTGGGAACAAAGAGTTTACAGCCGCTAAATGAAAAGTCTTGACTCACATGGAACAATGATCTTCCATAGCAAAGCTTTGCAAAAGAATGACCATTATATAAGAAAAAAATCACACAGAAAGACATATCTGGAAGATAATATTTGTGCCCCCAAGAGGCACGAATGCCCGTGGTCACTGTGATGCAGCACATCACCATTTGGGTATTAACGTGCAGGCTAGGGTTTATTCAGACCTACTGGCGTCTTGAACATACTGGCACACAGACCCGAAACCTGAGACAGTGAAATGTGACCCAATCTGATCCAACCAGAATGTGTAAAGTTTGGACCCGACCTGAATCAGGTCCAGGGTCGTGTCTCGGGCCCTCAGACTCAAGTGGACCCCTGAAGGAGATGGTTATTGGTTTCAGAAAGAAAACCGGTGAACATCCAGGGTTTGAATGTTGAGTTGGTGGAGAGTTACAAATAGCTGGGTGTTCATCTAAACAACAATCTAGACTGGACAGATAACACACAAGCCCTGTCCGAGAAGGGCCAAAGTCGCCTTCACCTATTGAGGAGGCTGAGGTCCTTCGGAGTGTGCAGGTCATTACTCAGAACATTTTGTGACACCGTGGTAGCAACAGTGTTTTTTATGCAGTGGTCTGTTGGTCAGGACCTTAGTACGGACAGAGACAGGAAAAGACTCAACAAGCTGATCATGAGAGCCAGTTCTGGCTTGGACTGTCTGCTGCTCTCCACTGAGGAAATGAGTGAGAGGAGGATGTTAGCCAAGCTAACATCAGTTATGAACAACACCTCTCACTCTCTGCATCTTACTGTGGAGGCCCTGAGCAGATCCTTCAGCAGCAGACTGATACACCCACGGTGTAGGAAGGAGTTTCATTGCAGGTCTTTCATACCAATGGTAATCAGACTCTATAACCACAGTACAACTTAACCGTGGTAGTTTTGTCACCACCATCCTGTGAAATATTATCAGTTCAGCTGGATACATCTTTTTTTAATCATATCTTTTTTGTGCTTCTATTCTTCTTCATATAATTTGCATTGACATTTTACTTTGACACTCAGTCTTGTGGCATGTGAGTTTACCATATGTGGGATCAAAAAAAGTATTATCTGTTATGCAAAGCCAACATGTACTTCCCCTTCTACTTCCTTCGCTGTTCACTTCATACAGTACGTAGGAGGCTGACTAACACATTTCTTTTACATCAGCATTGTCTGTTTTTCCAAGTAACTGGAGCACAACAGTAACAATAACAGAAATAAACAGCCAAGGAGAATGCGCAGCTCTGAAACTTTGTGAGACACAGTAACACAAGCTCTGACATAATGACAGGGCATGAATTGTATTCATGGTACATTCAATGTTTCCTGGGAAAATGACCTATCAACTTGTATTAATATTAAGCTCAATCTATTTTTTTTCCTCTGTTAAAAGGGCACATCCCAGTATATCAGAGATTTCTAGCTCTATTGTCCAAGGCCATCCTGTGTGTTATTGCCACATACTGTCAAAAATAGCTGATTAAGATTTATTTTGGTACCTCAATAGACTGGAGTTTGAAAAACTGTCTGGACCATTAGGCCATTGGTTGGTCTCAAATGCTAGACATGCATGTGAAGATGTTTGGGGATTGGCTGGGACACTGACTTTTAATATGTCCTCAACTATAATTAGCAAGCAGTCCAAAAAAATCATAGCCTACTTATCATCATGTATCATCGTTCTGTTGGAAAAATGAACAAAAAACGATGAATAAAGGAATAATTTCAATAATTTATTTTGAAGAAAAAGCTCTCAAATTAAAATACCTTGACTCTATAAGCCTGTTTGCGGAATCCAGTAAAACTGAGATACGCCATCAGAAGCAGCTATGGCCAAGAGAAAAAATGATCTAAATTCACATGGGACTTGAAGGTAGCACGAGATTTACTGTAAACAGAAAAGGTTACAGAACAGGAAGTTTGACATTAATCAACAGCGTCAGCAGAAGTCGCTTGAAAGCCTGCTCCAAATGTTTTCTTATGATAAACCGGTTTTCAAAAATTGTGAGTGATATTGTGACTATATTCTTCTTAAAAATGACCCTTCTTCGAGCAGTTTTGGTGTTACTGTCCGTGTCGCTGTCGTCTCCGGTGAGGGTTTTACGTTTTCCCCCACTCAACTGTTCTCAACAGGTAAGCTGCACCTTCCAGGAACAGGAATACTTTAGTTTTCATATTAACAATGGATATATTGTTTGTAGACCTCAGAAAGTTTTAGAAAGTTTTATCCAACAAGCATATTTATGGTATTACATGTCCGAGGCGACGCACTTGAGTTTGTGCGTTTTATTTTCTAGTAGGGGCCTCGCGCGTATAAAATAATGACCGTGGTCACGCATTTAACAGGAAACAACATAATCAAACATCGTCCGTTTTATTTTCAGGATATTTACATGTGCACTGATGTGTTGTTAGATGCGTCATAAATATTTTTGATAGCGCACTTTATGTGGGAGTTTAAATGTATTCTTTAAAGCCAACATTGATTCACTGAGTGATGTGCGCTTTAACGTTAGTGTGTTTTGTTATTCTTATCGTTTGTTACCGTTTTCAAAACAACAACAACAAAAACAATATGATTATACACATTACTGTCTTGTATATTTTGAAAAGACGAAGGGTGTGATAGGTGGTTGGCTAAGGGTTTGTTCTACTACATGACCAAAATAATGACCATCACACGACAAACACCGTATGTAGTATTTTGAGTTATACTTAGAAAGCAAACAAACAAACAACGGTATTTTAATTTCCGAAAGTCACATTCTTTGACAGCTTTTTGTCAAATATAACAGATTTATTCAGATACTAGAATGGTGCCCCATTCAGCGTTTTTCACAGTGTGGTGGTGTATAGAAATATGATAGAATATTGCTGACAAGAGTTAAAAAATGATAATGTTTCTCATTAAACAATTTAAATAATGTTTAAATGACTTGTCATTACAAAATCATGCACATTGTTCTGACTGGAATGTATTATTATGTACGTATTTCTGTAAAATTGAAAATAGATAAACAGCGTTTCCCCTGGCGGGAGTGTGCTCACCTGTGTGTGTGTGTGTGCGCGCGCATCGGGGCGGAACTCCGCCATGCGCGATACAGAGAGCAGAGGAAAACTGTAAACGCGCGACCATGACATGCCCTTGTGTAAATAAGATAAATAACATACAGCCGTTTAGTTTGTTTAATAAAAGAACAAGGTATAGACCTGTTCTTTAGGAAATGTAACCTTAAATGACTTCTCTTCTGATCTGGCGCCTCATAGAAAATAAAATTAAATAAAATGAACTTGACCTTCAACGGGGGGTCGGGGCGCCCCCTAGAGGAACCACTGGTAAACTTGCTTCAACTTTGTCATACAGTATGCCATATGTCATAGGGAAATGGTCTTGCTCACACAAGTTTTACAGTCTCTTTAAAACATGAGTAGGTGTAGTTGGTTTGCAACAATTCTGAAACAAGAATTCTATTTCAGAAGATGGAACCATGAAATTAAATCCCGTCCCCCATCCCCTCATTTTCAACCTGCTGCCACCGCTATAGGTGCAGCATCTTGACCTCCCATTATGTTATTAATGCTACAAAACTAATTTTTCACTTCCCAGTTAAAACTACAACATATAGGTCAAGAAATTATTATTCTGTTTAAAGTTTCCTGTGGCTATCCACTGGTGTGTGAGTGCTTGTGAGCACAAAAGGGTGACGGGGAAATATTGGGTAAAGTGCCCTAAGCCTGTTTACCGTTGCACCTAGTTTCCTGTGTTCCAGCTGACTATTTTGGTCCAAACACGATCGAGTGATCAGGCCTGTGGTAAAAGAACCAAGATATGAACCCAACCATAGCTCAGAAATTAAATGACCTGTGGATTTGGAGAATCATTTTAACCCTAAATTTAAAAAAAAAGTTGTTGTTTTTTTTTTTAGTTAACATAAAATAATAGTTGGCTATTATTTCTTCCCTGGTTTTTGTTCAGCCTCTAAGAAGTCAGACAGATTCCATACACATTTAAAATTATCTTTGTCTACACTTATTTTTTGTTTGTTTTATATGCATAAAAAAGAAAGCAATTAATAGTTATCAATAGCAACAATAACTGTACAACACCTTTTATATAATACAGCTCAAAGTGACATCAAATTGTACAAAAACATTAAAAACTTTGTTCATTATTTTATTAATTAATCATTCTGATATAGGCCACAATACCTTGATCTCTTTCTCTCATAACAACATTTTAAAGTTTCTAATTAAAACAAAATCATTTTGAATGATATAGCTAGAAAAACCACATGAAAGTATCCTGTTAAACTATTCTGTGTTTGAATGCACAGTGGTGATAACAGGCCCTTTGTTGCCTTTCTCTAAAGCACTTTGTGTAATTGGTGAAAACCTGGCAAAATCATAAAGTTTATATTTGTAATGTCATTACAATTCTCCTTTTTTCTCTTATTTCCTGCCACAGGGTTTGACATGTACAGTCAGTACAAGTGAGTAAATGTTGCTATTCTGCATTCCTATTATTGTCATTTCCCTGTTACTCAGATTCATTTCAGGACACACTGAAGAAAGCAGAGTGCTGTTTAGCATTCTGTGATCTAACATTCATACACTACAGATTTTAAATAATTTTAATCATATTGTGAAATACATTTAGTTGTCACAATAAACTACTCTCTTCTTAAATTTTACCTCAATGAGTTTATACTTTATTGCATTTTAATTAAGCAAAGTAGGAATTTTAGGCAAAACTTCATCTGCTCCCAAGGTGCACGGAGAAGTAAAAATGCCTGAAAACTGCACCACTTCTACTATAAACTTTACTTTACTTACTTTACTATTGTAAGACCAGCAACTTTATTTGCAGGAGAGAATAGTGGTGTTTGTGTTAAAAACTTTACATTTAAATGAAGAAAAAACAACTAAAGACATGCTGTGAATTCATTAATGTTGGAATGTGCATGGAAAAGTCAGAAATTATCTCAGGTTTCCCAGCTTTCTGACGTGTGTGTGTGTGTCTGTGAGCAGGTAACTGTATGGACAGAACATGGCTGAACGTTAATGAATACACTCCCAGCAGTCCAGAGGAGCTACAGGTGTCTGTGGACACCAGGCGGGATGAAACAGGAAATCTGCAACCTGTACTGAATGCTACCTGGAAGCTAAAGGATGATGGTGAGTTTGGGGAGATCATCATGGTTCTGACATCAGTATACTGTGCATATATGGCAACAGATTGTTGTTAAAGACAGATAGAATGAAAAAACATTTGCTTTGGATTTTAAAGTGTTTTGGTAGTTCCAAAAGCTAGAGAATGATATTGTTATAAATAGAACATTATTATTAGTGAATTTGCCTTTGTTGGAATTTCAAATTAATATGCAAACATAACCCCAGACAATAACCTGGAATGTTAGATGAATTGTATCTTTAAATACTTCAAAATTTATAAAGGATAATTCCAGCTTTTTACAACTTGTGGCTGTCATAAACTGGGAACCTTGCACCCAGATGCAGACACTGGACATGGATATTGAGACAAGAAATCAAGGTTTTATTATTGGCTAGCAGACATACAAGGTACCGGTATAACACAAGAACACAGGCAGACAATGGTAAGTATACTAAAAGGTGATATGACTAACTAGAGTAAGCAATGAAACAGAACTATGGGTAATGCAAAGAAACTCAGTGATACAAATGCTAAGACAGGCTTGGATTAGTACAACAGTATAAGCACGGGCTAAATAGAGAACACAACAAAACAAGTACTAAGGCTGGCACGGAAAGACACATTAATACCAGTAATATGTCTTGCTCTGGAAACACGAATACAGGTGAGATGACTGATGCATGTGACAGGTAATATGCACAGGAAAGATACTGTAGACTCAGAGCAACTAAAGTTCAAGCAAATGAGACTAGCAGACAACAAATAACATAACTGACCAGACCAGCAGGGAAAACAAGTGTCCATAAATGAGAATGACCAGACAAACAAAAGAAGCAGAACAGGGAAACATGAACGGTGGAACAAAGAACAGGTGCTGGAAGGTGTTTGGAGAGGACCTCTCAAACAGTCTAGCACTGAATGAAGACAGAGTGTTGATTTATAAACTGGCTGACTGTTTGTGTGCTGCAGGTGTGTGTAGCCAAAAAGCAAAGACTAAAAACCGACGACACAGATAATAACTGAAACAAATCTACCAAAAAAAAAAAACTACCAGCATGGTGACTACAGTGGTACTAATAATGATAAAATGATGGACATAACAAAAGTAAGATCCAAGCTGTAAAAATGTATTATGGTGCTTAATTACTTTGGACCTTGTCTTCTCATTTGTATGTTTTTTTTAATCCATAAATTGTTGATATGTAATTTTGCCTTTATAAATTTTAACAAGTTTAAAATTCAATAAAGATTTTGTTAAAAAAATTTAAAATTAAAAAACAAACAGAAATTGACCTCTGCTACATGTCTCTTCCTCAGGCAGTATCCGTGATCTGAAAGCCAGTGAGCTTAATGTTCTGGTGACGTCCACCAATCAGAACCTGTGTGTTCGATACTCTTTCAAACACCAACTCCCAATGAGAAGCCCTTCAGGAGAAAAGGTGGGTGATAGATTACTGAGATTATTTTTCATTTTTTTCACTGACATCTAAGTAGCAAACATTTCAAATTTTTAGTTTTCATTTTCTGAATACACCCTCATGCCATTATTGTTTTGTAAAACATGATCCCATTGTATCTTTATTGCTGTTCATACCTGAGGCAGCCTGTTGTTTGAAACTTACTTAATGCCATTATTTTCCACAAACTGAAAAAGCTTTTGTTTTTGTTTTTTTCCTATTAAATAAGTCAAATTTCTCAAATGCATAAGTGTTTGATTTTGTCCTAGCACAAAGAATTCTGTCCAAACAGAATACATCATATAATCAACCAAATAATTTGTGGTGGAAGAGCTAGATCCTTCAGTTAAGTAAAAATAATAATACCACAATGGAATAAAATGATCCATTACATGTGCTACATGCTAGATAGTGGAGTCCATTAACCATTCTTTGTGGGAACGCTGTCAGTTTAATTCGCTGACCTTGTGTTTTCAGTGGTCATTCTCAGCTGACATGGTGGTGTTAAACCCTGGTGAAGGATACTGGGTCTCTGTCTTCAACATCCCCAAACCAGAGTTGGAACACACCCCTTACGATGTCAGCACTGAAGTCAATGTTCCTGGTGAGCTGAAGCATTTTTTTGTGTGTTGTTGTTGCTGTTTTGGACAGAGGATATGAAGATATAAGTGAGTTTTTGTTTTATTATATCCTGCTACCACATTATATATTATATGGACATTATGTCAAGCTGCCATTTGTTACTCTGTTAGGCTGTATTCACAGTGACAAAAGCCCAGCTGTAAACAGCTCATAGGGCTGTGTTTTTGGAAGTGTGTTGTTTTATACACTGGCGAAATAGAATCTGAGAAGTCCTGTTGGAGAAACAAATTTCTGGTGTTAAAAAACCTATTAGATGCCCAACACAGTATAGTGGTTTGTAATCCTAACAGACAAAATTTTACAACTCTGGAAAGGTATCACAGCAGTAAAATTTTTTTTGTCAGAGCAGTCTCAAGGTGAACCACGGAAATACATTGTTCATGTTACAGTGTAATCCATTAGTACTGTACATGCATGCTCTTACATGAACAGATAGGTGATACATTAGTGGAACAACTAAAGACAGTTTTTTAGTAAGAGGTTAGGCCATCAGAACAGTTTCAGTGTGCCTTGGCATTGACTCTCCAAGTCTCTGAATTCTACTGGAGGGATGAACACCATTCTTCCAAAAAATATTCCCTTGTGGCGTTTTGGTGATAGTGATGGAGACGTTGTGTAACACGTCCCTCCAACATCTCCCATAGATATTCAACTGGGTTGAGATCTGGTGACTGTGAAGGCCATAGCATATGATTCACATAATTTTTACACTCATTGCTGTTCATACCTGAGGCAGACTGTTGTTTGAAACTTACTTAATGCCATTACTTTGCAAAAAATGAACAAAGCAAGGCAAATTTCTCAAATTTGTTAGTGTTTGATTTTGCCCTAGCACAAAGAACTCTGTCCAAACAGAATACATTGTATAATCAGCCAAATAATTTGTGGTGAAAGATCTAGATCCTTTAGTTAAGTCAAAATAATAATACCCATCTCATCAATTCATTTGCATAACTTTCAGTTCTATTGACTTGACTTTGATTCTGATTCTGGTTTACTCAGATTGTCAAGATCCCAAAATGCAAATGACCCAGTTTTGCATAGAGAGAGGTAAGTCCCTAATAGTCTCAAGTCCACTAAGAGTGAGTAAATCCTATACATATCTGTAAAATGTTGTCTTGTTGGTGTACTGTAGGAAGTCTGTGGCAACCAAACATCAGTCTTACTGCAGTCAGTGGAAGATCTGCACTGGCTGTCAGCTTCAGTCCTGACCCACTGTGTGAGGAGTACATAGTTATTGTTAGCTGCTCCTCTTTCAGTCAAGTAGCCCGTACATACAAGGTAAGGTCACATCATTATGGACATTCAAATGTTTATGTATTTGAAGAGCACTTATGCAGTAAGCAGTCTCATGCAGAAGATAAATGCAGTTTCCTATTGAGTCATTTGTATAAAAGCCTGCTAATTTTATTTACAAACCACAGTCGCTGATGCATTGTAAGACTCGTATACAGTATCACATCTTTTTGAACACTTCCAAAGTTACACCGTGGACTGATTGGCGTGTTTGGGTGCATTCACATTAACATGTTCTGAGGAGCTTATATGAACTTCAGAGCAATGTTGCAGTTCATTAAGAGTGGAAACCAGGACTGTGCAGTGTGGATGGTGAACTGGTGCATTATTGCAAATATATGGAGGGACAGGTGGCATCCCAGTGCCAGGGAAAATGGAAAACAAAGCAGGCAGCCCGATGCCCGAGAGTCACTTCAACCTTTGCTGATAATGTCAACCATTGCTGTATTGTCAGAGCGGATGAGGATGGTTTTACATTGTTGTTCATGACCGCATGAGGTTGCAGTGACCACAACAGGATGCATTATGAACAGAGCTGAGGAAGGACATGGAGGTTTTAAGAATTGCCAGAGTTCAAATGGCTGTAACTCAGAGAACTATTTTGATCCCCATATGGCCCCAAAACCCACTGGAGGCGTAGCATCAGTGATAGTGTTAACATTGTGATGAGTGCGACAGACAAACAGCCATAGAAGATGATCAGGGAGAGATCAGGAGGAAGCCATCTAGAAAGTGGACTAGATGTTGAATCTTGTAATTGTTCTGCAGATTCCAGCATGAGGCCTCGGAAAAGGTGCAGCCCAAAAAAACAGAAGAAAAGATGAGGGGCAAGGTGGTAGTTCAGTGCCAGGAAAGGAGGAAAACTAACAGGGAGCCTGTTGCCCAATGAGGACAATTAGGAAGAATGGGAGGAAAAGATGACAGGAAGTAAGTAGGCAGCTGGCGCCTGAGAAAGAAGAGAGTGTGGAAATCTTGGTGCCCAATGAACAAGAAAAGGAGGGAAAGGAAAGAGGAGCTGATATGGAAAATACCTGGGAGGTCAGGAGAACATGGAGGTCTTAGCGGAAGGAAGACACTTGCAAAGGTGCTGTAGAAGTGGCTGCCATTGACTGGGGGAATGACATCTATGTGTGCATGACAACTGGAAACTGCACAGCTTGGTTGATTGTAGTGCAAGGGTTTGGTGCCATAGAGGAGGAAGTTAGTTGAGAAGGCACTACCTTCGAGTCTGACCTGCAGAATGGGGTGTTTCGGTCCTCTGAAGTATATAGGGATGGAGAGTTTAAGTAGTGTGGAAAAAGAAGGGACGTAGTTCGGGTGAGGTTCTGCTCCCGTACTTCATATAATTATAATCTCCATTTTCAAAAACAGAAAGGTCTTTATTTTCAAATTTACCAGAATTATAGTCAAGTGACATAAACATTTGAATTTATAATTGTATTGATAGAGTTTCATATAGCATTGTCTGTATGTTAAATGCTGTGTCTCAGTATTCAAATATGCATATAAAATCTCCTCCATCTTCTCCAGGCTGATCATAAGTTCCTGAATGTAACATTCAGCCGTGATAAGTGGCAAAGATCCTGCTGTCAGTTTGATGTTGAGGTATATCTTTTAAATTCTATTCTGCTGAGTAATATCTGCATTTTCCATGATCACATTTGACCTTCTTGTGTGAATTAACATGACATAATGTTTCACTGCAGATCAAACCTATTTTCCAACCATGTGGTCAGGACTGTACCCGAAAAATAACAACTCAGGATACTTGTCCTGGTATGTTACTAGGGTAGAAACAAAATTTTGATTTTGTGGCCTGGGAGGAGAGAGACTGAATGTCATATCTGATGATTATTTTAACAGGTATTTGGTCATAAACCAAAGTATTGGTTTATTTCTTATTGCTATTTTGACCCGATGATGGTGCTACATGAAAAGTCAGGAGATCCCTGAAGTCTGGGTACCTACTTAATTACCTGTTGTAAAATTATGTGACATGGAACTATGGTGAATTATTTATAGAGAATTTGTTCCTGCCCATATTTAAACAAAATCTTCAAGATTAATGGTCTTCTACTTGTATAGCACTTTTCTATGCAATGCAGCACACTCAAAGTGCTTTCACACCATTTGGGCATTCACCCACACACCAATGACATCACCAGGAGCAACTGGGGGCTCAGTATCTCCCTCATGGACACTTTGAATGAAGAAGCTGGGAATTAACCCGCCAACCTTCTGGTTAGGAGACAACCCGCTGTACCTTCTGAGCCACAGCCGCCCCTAAGATCTGTTTCCTTCATTTTACTAGTTTACTGCAATGCTGTTAATCACTAAACTGTTCTGTTTTCCACAGTAAATCCAACCATCACTCCAGATGTTCCTCCATATATATTTATCGCCTTGGGAGTGGTGCCTATGTGTGTAGTGATGTCAGTTATTATGTATATTAAGACCAGGAAGCAAGGTTAGTCACAAATACAAAGCATTTTCAGCTCCATCTCTGTTGAGCTCTAACTTCTAATTTCAAAAATGATTGTAAAGTCATTAAATTGAATTGTGCTTTTATGGTTAGTTTTATAATGGCTCATTCATGCTATCATGTACTTTTAGGCAAAGGACATCATGAAAGAGAATATCTGCCACCGCCACAGCTTAAACAACCTCCCAAAGTGCTGGTCATCTACTCCCAGGACCACTACCTGTACCGGGATATTGTGCTGAAGCTCTGTGCCTTCCTCCAGGCCAAGTGTGGCATTAAAGTACTGGCAGATATGCTGGATTCCACCTCTGTCAGCACGGTGGGTATTATCCGCTGGCTTGAGTTGCAACGACAACAGCTAAAAAATCCATCTGACAAAATCCTGGTGTTGTGCTCACGGGGCGTCCAAGCAAAGTGGAGGGCCATGTGCGGTCAAGAACAGGTGATGCTGAAAGAAGATTTCTCCCCCACAGAAGACATACTCACCCCCTTTCTTAACACTTTCTTACCAGACATGCAAAAGCCAAGAATGCTGGGCAAATACGTGGTGGCTTACTTTGATGACATAAGCAGTGAACAAGACGTGCCATCAGTTTTTGATATTGCAGTCAAATACAAGCTGATGAAACATTTTGAAGAGTTGTACTTCCGCATTATAGACATTGAAAAGTATCAGCCAGGTCAGGTAAACCAGATCCCGGGCATCAGTGGGGATGAATACTTCAAATGTTCCTCGGGTAGAGACCTGAAGAATGCCATTGAAACCTTTAAGGCCTACCAGATGGAAAATCCATATTGGTTTGAGAAGGAGTGTGTGTCTAGTGAGGAGGAGGTCATGATGCAGGACAACCTGCTCATTGACCAGCTGCAGATCCCCCCAGTCCTAGAGTGTGTCCCTCTAATTTTGGATGGCCCTAATGCCTACATTCATGAGGTAGAAATTTCTGAAAATTGCAGCTATGTTCAAGTCGTTACACCTGAACTAAACCCAGAGCACCAGCTATCATCAGTGATGGAACTTACACCACTAATAAACCCTGAATGTGAACATGCCTATCTATCAAACCAGGATGAAGGGTTAACAGATCACCTGTATCCTCTCAGCCCCTCAGACTCTGTCTACATAGTTGAGCCTGTTTTGCACAAGCTGCCAACACCACAACAGGACTGGCTTTCCTTTGTGAAAGAACCCTTGAGTCAAATTCTCACTGAGGATGATGAAGAGGATTCAGTGCTGCTCATGAGCCAACTCTCCACTCATTCAGCCCTGAGAAACCCAGCCCTACTCAACTCCTTGGACTCAAGCCGTGCAGAATCATCCGCTGGAGGATGTGCAAGCATACAGAGTGAATGTTTCCCCCAATGTGATATCAGCCACTTCCAGTGTGTGAAGATGGAGGAAGATGACGTTCTGGCGCCCAGTGGAAAAGGTCCAAGCAGTGGGTCTGATCAAGGCTACATCTCCAAACTATCCTCCCAGCATGAACGACCTTTCAAAGAGGATCCACTTGTGGCTCTGGCAAGGCTGCAGGAGGAGCTATTTCAGCAGAATCTCAGATACTCTGACATAGGTCCTGAAGGGAACTGATGCTCAGTCCAAAGTCCACCCAATAATCAGCAAACCTTCAGGGACTTGAACCAACATCACTATGTGGTCACCATAAGTACTTGAATATAGGGGGATGCTAGATCTCCAAACAGTGCATGAAGAACTGGACAGCACCCTTGTGAAATCAAATTATCTGGTGTATTAACTAAGATATTACACTGTTTGATAAATTAAGAGAAAATGGGACAGGGCACAGTGGGAAGAAGGCAATGTTCCACCCAACAGTAAACGTATTCTGGGGAATGAAGGTATAAAACAAGTCATATTTGTATCAGTGTTTATTTATGGATAAAATTTTGTTGCACAATGATCTTTTTCACATACTGGATCTATCAGCACTTACCTTTGTTTCAGGTTTTGATGTTTTCTTTTGTTATAAAATTGTCATTAAATAATCAGTAACAAATAATCACATTATAGACTTTGTACAGCATGTTCCTCTGATTTATTTTAGGTTTCAACCACATAATACTCTGTCTTACATCTATAGTATATACCTTGGATTATATCAGTTCAGATATGCACCACACAACTTCACAATACAATTAGTCCTATCTGTAAACAACAATACTGTTCTTTCCCTGTAAACAAGTCTGAAGAATAAGGAAAACCCACTATTCTAATTAAGAACAAACATTTAAATCTGTGTGGCATGACAGGCTCTTTTGAAAATCCATGTCCATGAACGCCTTTGGTAGTTTCACTTATGCACTGCGCTTGTTCATGCAGGTTAAAGGCCCAGTATACTTCTGTTCAAATTTAATGAAAAAACAAACAAACAAACAAACAAAAATCTCTGCTTATGATTAAACTGTGTGGTAAGGTTTATGTGCAAATCTGAATAAAGATTTATAGAAAGTTTTTCCAGCAGTGTAGACTATATATATATATGCAAAGGTTTAGAAGATCAGTGGAACAAAGAAATTATACAGAGTAGTATAAAATATAACATTTTAAACACTTTAGCAACATATAATGAGTTTGTGTTCCCATAATGAATCTAATCCATTATTCGCTTGCCTCTCCTGAGAAAAATATCTGGCTCTTTAGCTGCTACATATTCCACTTTCTTTACCAACCATGTTTGTCTGTCATTTGCAGGTAACCTTCTTGTGCCACTACTGCATTGCTTTTCTCTATTCTTAGGCAAATGACTAGAGAGATTAGAGCCAAATGTTGTTCCCATGTTTTTATATTTAGCTTTTAATCTGTTGACCTACTTCTTTCAGTTTTGGCCATTCCTGTGCCACCTACTAGCCAAACAATGCTTTGAGAGACACTTACAAAAAAGCATAGGACTAATGCAATAACACCATATTCAGTAGGTCATAGCCTTTTCATGGAAAACAGCTGCCTGCAGATGTTGCTAATGGCAAATAAAACCAAAACAATGAACTAAAAGAAACTACAGAGCCCTGTATGGCTGAGAGGAAAGCAGAGTAGGGGAGAGTTTTGTGAGTTCCTCACTATGAGCAACAAAGCCATTTAATCCATTACTAATACAACAATATTGAATATTGCAGCTTCATGTAAAAGTTATGATTTGGTATGTTGAGCTTGTGACTTGGAAATTCATATCTCACAACTGACATGGCTTAAGACTGTCAAACAATTTTCTCTTTTTATCATTAGAATTTTTTCAGCTTTTAAATGGATGAAAGGAACATAAAGTGTTGATTTGCAGGTGTGTTGAAAATGACAAACTTTTTCAGAGTCTGCTGAGCTTTTTGTCTACAGAGTTGGACATTCTGGCCATGAATGAATACTGCAGGCCCATCAATAGATAAGTGGGTGTTTTGGGAGAAGTTGAGAGCTTTTAAAATGACAGATGACAGAGTGAACAGTAATAAGTGATCTTTTAGGACCCATGATCCACAAAGTGACAAAAGTAGTAAAACAGTAGCAGAGTCAGCAGTACCAAAAGAAAGTCCTGTTGCTCAGGGGTCCATCGGAAATGGGCTGTAGAAAACCAGTTTGTCATGGCACTGTTGGATCTTTACACATGGCATTAATATGCCTCTATGCCATTCTCAGGACCAGACACAGCAGTTAGTCTGCAACTCTGACATCAACACAAAACACAAATGTACATGAACGGAGCAGAACCCTGGTGCGGCTTCTTCAAATTGCACTTTATGTTTTGACACTACACACAGTCCAGCTGCTGTCTGTCTGTATTCCATTCAGTTGCAGTGGTGACACTCCCAGACTGAACACACAACTCAGGAAAGGTCCAGTGCACTACAGTTTGTCCTCCATTTGTTGTAGGCTAGTGCAGTGCGGGTTTGACTTTAGCACCTGTTGGCTGATCTGAAATGGGAACACTGTAGGGCTGGTACAGCTGATGTGTTCCAGACATATTCAGAAATTGGAAAGTCCATTCTCCTGTTAATGTAAACGGCCATCTTCCCCAAAAAGTCAGTTGAAATTTCAGAAAGGTCGGTCAGAGCCAGAATGAATCTGTGATGTTTTTGCATTGCATGACATTAAGTCCACCATAACTTCATTGTGATTATTCGTTAAAAATAGGAGGTCATGGTTGAATTACCAAGCAGGCAACTGCCTCAGGGCCCCAGACCCTCAGGGGCCAAGAGGGCCTCGGGCTGTGCAGTATGGATGACTGTTACTTTGTGATCATTTGATTCATTATGTTTGCTTATATGCATCACTAGGGCCCTAGTGATGCATATAAGCATCACTAGGGCCCTAGTGATCTTTATCCCATCTCAGGGCCCTTTCTTATAGATCAGTGTTAATACAGGGCTACGACTACTTGCTAAACTGGGGCCCACAGCTCAGTTTTATCTCATAGCTCTACAACATGTTAAATGGGACTTGCAGCTGGTGTTTTAAAATAAAGCTAGTGATCTGTGCCACACACTGCAGTCAGCCTTTGATATAACTCAACTATTAAACAGCTGTCTTGCGGCCCACAGACACCAAGAGGCCCCCAGTTAGCAAATTATAACTGTGAAGACTCTTTGGGTTGCTCTCTTTATTTGTGATCATTTTATACGTAGGTTGTTCACCAAATGAAAAATTCTCACTTAGCAGAACATGACCCTGCAGATATTCATCTCTGAGTTTCTCCCTTTACCCCAAAGTAATAGAGGTGGATGGAATTTAAGTTCTAGCACTTCAGTTCTAAAGCAACACCTCTGTCCATGCTGTAACTTTGGATAATCCAAAAGAAAAAGAAAACTATATATTTGTTATAAAACAGTTACAGTGAAAACTGAAACATTCTGAGGATTATCCTGAGTTAAAAGGGACAATGTTTCTGGAAAAAACATGTTGCTTTTGTTTTTCAGTGCTTTCAGAAGTACAAACAATTTCTTTTCACGTTTATTTTTTAGGGTTGGATCACCAACAAGGGGGGGCTGGGGCCCATCTATGATTAAATCAATCTAGTATTTTAGTTGCTGTTAAGCTTGCATGGTGCATTTCTTTAAATTGGCTCAACAGGGACCTGCAACTCACTTTTCCCCCGCAGGGGTTTACTAGCAGATAAACCTGCAGAGCACTGGAACCAAAATCTCTGACCAAAACCTTTTAAATTTAGCCTATTTGGACAATTAAGTAGTTTTTCCTTTCCATCTTAGTTTCCTTTACAACAGGCTAATTGTACAAATGAAGATGCTTTTCCTACACTGGTGGGGGAACGCTGGAGCACTGTTGCCTAAACACCTTACATGTAGGTTTGTTGCGCTGGTCTGCTTTTCAGAGTCGGGATCTCGAAGGTGTCAGTCTCCATCACCACAGACTGACTCGGGCCGAGCTCTAGGACTGGGTCACCGCCAGGGTGTTGACGTATCCGTGCGGACACATGTCGTTCTCGGACACGCAGTGGGAGAACTGGGCCGGGTTGCTGTTGCCGGTCAGCCTCCGGATCCCCTGCACCGTCACACACTGCTCCACCAACTCCAGGAACTTACACACCAAGAAAAAGATGTTTTTGAACATGAGTACAGACGCAGGTATCTTGTAAACATACACCTGGAAACACCTGACCATCAGTAGAGGTGCGTTGACAAGCAGGCCCGTGGAGAAGCGCGCCCACAACCACCGGCAACGCAGCTCCGACGCCGTCAGTTCGTAGAGCCAAATCACCGGCACGGCCAGGGCCACGAAATACACAGAGATGACGGTGTACTTCAGGTAGAGGGTAGGGATCTCATTCCTTAGCAGCATCTCCACCAGCGTGAAACTGTCCAGCAGGTCGAGGCAGGTGCTCATGAAGCAGCTCTGGGAATGGTGCCGCGTCACCCCGTTTACATCTTCAGTGATGGAATTGAGGAGGCAGAAAAGCAGAGGCGCGGAAAGGAGCATGATGATTTTGAAGCCGGTCACTCCGCACGGGACCTTTAGCGCGATCAGGTCCAGGATGGAGGTCTCTAGGATGAGCACCAACTTTGGGGTGCAGGCAATGACATAGATGAGCCAGGCCAGGTAGGCGTAAGTGAACTCCCCGAGGTTACAGCCAAAGATGGAGCTCTTCTGGTGGAAGCCGCAGGCCCGCTCCCTCTTGCTCCGAGCGTTCTTCATGAAGAAAATCCCCCAGCCCGAAATCACCACCAGGTCCGTGGCTATCCATGAGCACCAGTACAGGTCGGTGAAGATGATGAGGTAGAAGTCCAGAATGCCGCCCTGGAAGATGAGGAGAAGGAAGCAGAGCGCCTTGTACAAGAGGCTCCTCTTAGATTTGTGCGCCAGCAGCGGAGCGCTCTGCATGAACTCTCCCGATGTCATGATGCAAGTGGCGGGCGCGGGTGCGGGGAGCAGGGGGCGGGGGGTGCGGCGG